AGTAAAAAATCTATTTAAGAGTTAGACAAGTATAAGTATATCCTTTTTTGAAATATTGAACAAAATCTCTACTAACATACTATTAGGACCAGTTAACAGTTAGAAAATTTATTAGAATAAAATATATGAGATATAGTTTAGTTCCTTACTTGCTTTACATTATTATATATATATCAGACAATCGAAGTTTAAAATAAATTTTAATTTCTTGTAGTAATTTTAATGGCAAACCATTGATTTGGAAGCTAGGTAGATTGATATGGTTAACATCAAATTTCCAGGCATACTTCTCCGGAACAATTTATTAAACATGTTAGAAATTATTCGGATTTATATCTTCACTAACAGTCTGAGTTAGCCAGTAAATATGATAATTTGGTGTGTGATTATTGAAATAGGTTTTGTGTGAATATTTCATTATAAAAATTTAATAATGATCTAGTATATTTAGTTTGACTTTAGTTTAACTTTAAAGAGCACTAACGTATTTGAAACACTAAGAATACAATATATAAAATTAGAACTCATATAAAGTACATAGTATAAGGTGTATTCTGAAAAGGCGCAATTATTATATTAGAAATAAGTCTTAAACAACGATTTTCTTATGAATTGCTTAATCATGATAATAGTTTCAATTAACTGACAACTAATAGGTAGAAACTGGGGACAGATTCAAATGGTGATTCCTCGAGAGATTTAAGACCAAATCCGTGCTGCTTGACAGGGATTATATCTTTTCATTTGTTTATAAGGTGCAAGACAACACGTTATCTACATCAAATTAATTCATTACACCTGATGGAAATTTATTTTGACAATTTCATTGCTATGATATAATCTTATAAATAGTGGCTAATAATGTTGGCAATAAGAAATTAAATTTCTGAAACTTTTACTGAATAAATAAATGACATCCAGGTGATTCACAATAATAATACTAAAAATTATAAGCGACTAGGTACATCTAGGAAAAAGCAATTAAATGTATTTCCTGATTTTCACATACAGAATTACAAACAGTAAAAATATATAAAATAGTGGCTAACATTAAACTAAGACTAAGCATTTTTTGTCATACTTCACTGAACCAGGATCATATTGTTTTTTCAACTTTAAAGATTATCTGTAATCCTATCAATAGAGTCAATAGAAAAAGATGTACGATTTAATAATTATTTGATTAACAGTTTAATTTTCAAATCTTATCTCTACTTAACTTATCGTTACTTAATCTGGATTATTTTACAGTGACTCAACATTGGATTTACATTGGATTTACATTTAGTTTACAGTGGCATTAACAGAAACGATAAGAACTGTACGGTGGTCCCACAAAGTTACAAAAATTTTACAATAATTAAATAATCCGTTTGGTACTATTTTAAATAACTCATAATGTATGTAATTTATTGTTATTTTTTATTGCTGAAATAAATATTTATTATAAAAAAAATCGCTTAAAAAATTTATTTTATTACTAGATTATTCATATAAAAGGTTGCAAATTTCCTAGAACTTATTAGAACTAAAGTTGTTCTTTAAACATGATGAGATCTACATCAATAATTGTTTTAGCACTACTCTTTGCCTATACTGGCGCTTTGCCACAGGATCGTATTATCAACGGCAATGATGCAGCTGTGGGACAAATTCCTTTTCAAGTGGGTTTAACACTTAGCGACTCTTTGGAAAACTGGTGGTGTGGTGGTTCTATTATAAGCACAAATTGGGTCTTAACTGCAGCTCATTGCACAGATGGGTAAATTAAATTATATTACATTTACTTTTAAATAATTTCCAATAATGATTTATTACCAACCACAGAGCCGTTTATGCAATTGTTTATTTGGGTGCCACAGATCGTACTAAACCGGAAAAAGTTCTATATGTAACTAACTCCAATTTTATACAACACGAGGAATACGCAAGAAAACCACATATTATTAATGATATATCATTAATTAAAATTCCACAAATAACATATACCAAGAATATACAAAAAGTTGCTATTCCGAAAATATCAGCAAGTTATTCTTCATATGCTGGTAATATTGCTACTTCATCCGGCTGGGGTATAACCGAAGAAAATACCAATGTCCTACCTACAAACTTACAATATGTCCATTTAAAAATTATAACGAACAGTTTATGCAATGAAACCTATCATTCTACCTTAGTTAACAAAGGATCACTCTGCACTGCTACTCCGCAAGCTACTACCACATGTGAAGGTGATTCTGGTGGCCCGCTGGTGGATCTTGCCTCTGGTAAACTTATTGGTATTAACTCATTCGTGTCAGGAAATGGTTGCGAAGCTGGAGATCCTGCTGGATTCGTTCGAGTAACAGCATACTTGAACTGGATTCGGCAAAATAGTGGTGTGGTTGGAGTGTAAACGTCCAATACAACCAGACAATATAGTCTTATACATGTAGGCATATATATCTGTATGTGTATGTTTGTATGTGTATGGATATATAGAACAGCTAACTGTTAAATAAAGTTTTGTAATTAATAAATATGTATTTCAAATTAAATTACCTCTGCAGTTAAATAAAAATTCAAAAAAAAATATAATTTTCTTTAATTTTAAATGCTATGACTTCACAGATTTTTTAAAGTAACAGAGACATACATAAGAACTATTCATTTGTGAACTTATACTAATATGTGTCAAGTCCTTACTGATTTGATTGTATGGGTGTAACTACAATTACACTAAAACTTTTCAGAACAAAGAATTGAATTTATTTGTCAAAAGAGAACAATATTGGAAAAAATTAAATATTTTGAACTTATTTTAAATTTTCAATACGACCAAACTCTGAATCTGAATAGTCTGGATAGAGTCGTACACTGCTTAAACATGATTTCTTGAGCACATCAACACTCCAGTAGTTTAAAGTACTGAGACTGGTCTGCAAAATCTGCTATACCAAAATCTCCTATGGTGCATACACCAGCCATGATTGCCACGAGGATGTCGGAATTAAGTGTTAAGCGTTATCTATGAACCATTATAGATTATCAAGAACATTGTGACTATATAAAATCTTCTGTTCTGAAATACCACTCTCTTTTACCAGAATTTTAAAATATTCACAACTGCGAAGTATCTGCCAAACTTTTTCCCGGTAGATATTCACATTAACCATACCACAACAGTCCAGAACCACCCAAAAGCATAACCAAAACAATCCAAAACAAGGAATCGAATATTTCAATTTATGTTTGACCCTTTGAAAGGCAAACTTGATATATTGATTTACTTACAAATTGGGCAATTTTTTCGACAATTATTACATTGCAAGTGCAACTTATTGGTCCGAATTTTGTTTTAAGCGTCGGCATAATTTTATCAATTTGGAAACTTAGCCAAGCTTATTTAAGAGTCAGACTTGCATACGCTTAAAAGACTCTACAGTGAAAATCAAGCAGCAACCAAAATTTCATACTGTTGAAAATTCTCTCTTAGTGTGAATCAACAATTCTATACTGTAGATTTGATCCTATCGATAGGAAATATGTTGGTCCGCATCTATGGACTGTGACCGCCATAAGTCACTATTGGTGCGAACCTTCAGTTAACCACTAAACTTAAACGCTGGTTTGTCCTTATAATTACGATAAGTATTTTTTCTAAGTTAAACAAAGCTAGGGTTGTTGGGAAATTATTTCATTAGTCACCATACGTCACCATCTGAAAAATATGCACCTGTCAGAATAACGGTTCTGCTGGGTGCTAGATAAATCGTCTAATCATATACCTTGCTTTGTTCTGAGCCATGAGGAGTAACATATTAGGTCAGAAATTCTCATTCCCATCTGATACGAGTATCATGAAATTGTTAATTGAAAATACTTTGGAGTTTATTCGTCATGTTAAATGTCTTCTAATCGGCTTTGAGCGGTTGCTAAAAATTTAATATATCATATTCATATATGTAGGTATATTATTTTATATATAATATTCAGTTATGATTTAGTTCAGTTTTATTTATACATGATGGTATTCGAAAAGGTTCTGTAATTCTACCTATAAAACAAACTATTCTGCACAGTTAACGTCAGAGAAATATTTATAGTTTATTGACATCTGAATGAGCAATTATTGCAGCTTTTAGAATAAACCTATAAATAATTCCTTTTATCACCTTTATCTAGATGAAAGTAATATCTCCATAGTTTTGTTATTTATTATTCGTCTTCTTTTAATTTTGTAAGATCTTATTTTTGAAATGAACTTAGCAAATTAGTTTGGTTTCATTTATTATAGAATATACTTTAATGAGAATATGAATATAGAAGTTAAGACCTAATGAGTGCTACATACAATTTCAATTATTTGAATTATTGATATGTGTATATATATACATATATATATATATATATGTAAACATACTTGACCACTAAATATTATCACCAAAATTTAAAAAAAAAATTGTTATTAATTTTTAGATAAAGTTTTAAACAGTCTAGTCTGTTGGAAACACCCCATTTTTTTATGGATCAATTAATTTCTTTATTTCTTTTTTCATCCAAATATGAATAGCTAATCCCATTAAATTGCAATTGGAAGATAATGATTTAATATTTTTTTGACTTAAGTGCATAATTTTTAAATCTTATCATATTAATTAATTTATTTCTATTTTATGTGCAATTTAACCCATTTTGCTGAGGTTAAGCAGTTAATTTACATCGGCCTTACATTACATTTGCAGAAATGATAAGAACTGTGCTATACCCCCCGTGAGTTTCACAAATTATGCAATAAAATTTTAATCCGTTTAGTTTTATTTCAAATAGTTCTAAATCTAAGTCAATAAAATTAAACTCCATAAACGACATATATGATTTATGGTACATACTCATTTATGGCAGAAATAAACATTTATTCTAAAGAGGCCATTGTAAAAATTATTTTATTGCCTTATATTTCATATATAAGTTTGGAAATTGCTTGGAACTTGTTAGAAGTAAATTTGTTCTTTATACATGATGAGATCTATATCAATATTTGCGTTGGCACTACTGTGGGCCTATACTGAGGCACTACCACAGGATCGTATTATCAATGGCAATGATGCAGCCGTGGGACAAATTCCTTTTCAGGTTGGTCTTTCGCTCAGCGACACCCTCCAGAATAAATGGTGTGGTGGCTCAATAATAAGCACAAATTGGATTTTGACGGCAGCTCATTGCACAGACGGGTGAGTCAGTTTTTATTTTATTAATATATAATAAACATTTTTACTTTTTAAAAATAAATAATACTCAATATTAAATAAATTACTCACCTCAGTACCGTTTATGCAATTATTTATTTGGGTGCCACCGATCGTACTAAGCCGGAAAAAGTTCTATATGTGACCAACGCCAATTATATACAACATGAAGACTATCAACCAGCTCCTTATGTAATGAACGATATATCACTAATTAAAATTCCAACAATTATATATACCAAAAATATACAAAAAGTTGCAATTCCCAAAATCTCAACGAGTTATTCTTCCTATGCTGGTAACATTGCTACAGCTTCCGGTTGGGGTATAATCAAAGACAACACCAATGTCCAACCTTTAAACTTACAATATATACGTTTGAAAGTTATAACGAACAGTTTATGCAATGAAACCTATCACTCTAACTTAGTTCACAAAGGATCACTCTGCACTGCTACTCCACAAGCTACTACTACTTGTGATGGTGATTCTGGTGGCCCTCTAGTAGATATGTCCAGTGGTAGACTAATTGGTATTAACTCATTCGTGTCAGGAAATGGTTGTGAAGTTGGAGATCCCGCTGGATTCGTTCGAGTAACAGCATACTTGAACTGGATTCGGAAAAATAGTGGTGTAGTAGGAGTGTAAACTGGATTATATGTACATATATGTGTTTATATATATCGAACAGTTTGCCATTATTAAAATTTCTTGTTTATATTTACTATATACGTTAAATAAATGAAATTTTCCAGTTGAATGAAAAAAAAACAAATTTTTAATATAATTTTATAGTCTTTCATTTGGGCGATTCACTAAATAACATGGACTTTAAATTTGATCCTTAATTTTTTATACAAAGATTACTAAGTTTTACACTAATTCTTTCTGATACCCATTTATCTATTACTTGAACTTACAGCTGAATTTAGGATTATATTTAAGTCGAAACTGCTAATAAGGTGCACCCAACTTGATAACGTCAATTTAAACATAACGAGAATTATATGATGTATATAATTATAAATACT